CAATGAAACTCGCAAAGAGCTCGGAGCAAAACTCCCTGCTAGCGCAAAGAGAGACCGCGAATCCTGGTGGCCTCATCGTGCATCAGAGATGGAAATGGCCGCTGCCCTTGGTAACCATCGTAAGTTATTCCGTCTGATACGGGAAACGGGCAGCAGGAGACCTGGTGTTTGTGAAACTATACGTGACGAGAGTGGACAGCCTATCCACGACTTGTCAAAACGCTTGGAGCGTTGGGCTGAGCATTTTGAAAAGCAATTTAATCGGCTAGAATTGTTCGATTTCTCGCCGGTCACTGATCGCCTCGCTCCGTGGGCTATCACTTTGGATCCACCCTATCACTCAGAATTCGAACGTAAGATCGGACTGTTGTAGTTAAACAAAGCCGCGGGGACAGATGATCCTCATCCAGCCCTCTTCAAATTCGGGGGACCTGCACTTGTGCATGATTAACACGAGTTACTAGTCAGACTGTGGGAGTAGGAAACCGTCCCAACCGAATGCAGCCGCTCCGCAATAATCGAAATTTTCAAGGGAGGCTCACGATCGGAATGCGGCAGCCATAGAGGAATCAGTCTGATCTCCACCGCCTCCAAATTGTTTCCATCAGTCATCCTTCTCAGACTGACTGGAACTCGTGAAAGCCATATTCGTGAAGAGCAAGACGCATTTCGTCGAGGTCGTGGCTGCATTGACAACATCTTCACTTTAAGTCAGTTGCTGGAGCACCGTCACATATATTGGCGACCCACCGTTGTCGTGTTCCTCGATATCAAAGGTGCATTCGATAAGGTGGATAGACATGCACTTTGGGACTGTCTACTCAGGAAAGGTGTACCTGAGAAATAGGTAAATATTATCCGAGCATTATGTACGCGTAGCTCGGGCAGAGTGAGGGCTTACAGCAAGCTGTCGTCGCCCTTTAATATCTCCAGCGGCGTGAGACAAGGATGCTCGATGTCACCTTTCCTCTTCAACTTCGCTGTTGACTTAGTCATGGACATCGCATTCACAGGACACGACTTAGAAGGTGTGGATCTGCTCCCAAAAGAACGACTTCTTGACTTAGAGTATGCTGTTGATACTGCCCTGATCTGTGACAGCTCACAAACTTACCAAGCGGCACTGAACAGATTGGCACTGGCTGTCTGTCACTTCGGGCTTTGCTTCGCGCCCTCGAAGTGCAAAGCATTCCTTCAACATTGGTCTGGACCGCCTCCTACACTGACCCTTGGTGGGGATCAGCTATAAGTCGTTCAAAAATTCAACTACCTGGGAAGTTGTATCAGCGCCCGGGGGATTGAAGATGAGATCACGAGCCGTATTGCAAAAGCTCGGGGCGCTTTTGTTAACCTTCGCCACTTATGGCGCCGGCGCGACATCACTCCTACTCTGAAGGATAGAGTGTACAATGCAGCGGCACGTTCGACCCTACTGTACGGTTGTGAAACCTGGCCCCTTAAAGCAGCGGATCTGAAGAGGCTAGTTGCGTTCGACCATCGGTGCCTTCGCAATTTAGCTCACATCTGGTGGGAACACCGACTAAACAACGAGCATGTTCGACGCCTTCTTTATGGCACAGACGAAGGATCTGAACCGCTCAGCACCGTTGTTTCCCGCAACAGGCTCCGATGGTTCGGCCACGTGTTACGCATGTCAGCCCACCGACTCCCACGACGTGCGTTGTTTGCGCGGCGGGGTTGTGGATGGAAGAAAAAAAGAAGGGGTGGTCAAGCGATGACTTGGTCCAGAGGAATGCAGGCCCTCGCTTCTGAACTGGCTTCGGTTGGAGCGTCTCGGCTCCCTGGTTGGGGTCCGAAAGACGATGAACACGTTTGGCTAGATACTCTTGTTGATATGGCTAGGAGTTGACCTCAGTGGCGTTCGTGCTGTGAGTTTCTTTGTCCCACCACATCCCTCTTAGCCTCCCCCTCCAACCACGATCGCACTATTTAGCCTTATATAAGTTTGTATAGTAATTTTTTGGTGCAGTAGCCGGCTGGCAGTTTGTCGGAACGATGCCCATCCGTTACCGGTAGCTCAGCCAGCTTACACCAGTTACATTTTTTTCTCCTTTTTCTATGTATTGCGGCACAGTAGCTGAGGTGCTTCTCACCTCTAGCTAACGTGTATGATGATGATGATGGTACCCTAGATCCACCCGAAAGTACTCCCGATGACACATTTTCGCTAATTCATCAAACAATCAGGAAATGATCCGCGGCTGTTCGTTACACCGATTATCTTGTTCTGTTTCCTTATATATTTTACCTTTCGAGCTAACTACCATGAGATACTTGTTCAGAGTTAGGCTTCCGGTTAACGAGTTTCTTGTTTCTTATACCGATAAGCGAGTCAGGGACTCAGGCACTGCGATGTTTGGTCGCTTCTCCTTGCTTTTGCAGAAAGAAATGAAGCAAGAATGAGAGCAATCTTTGTATTTTCATGAATCATCACGTGATATCACTACACAAGGTCCAGTTGTGTTCCCCACTTCTAGCTAACGTGTATGATGATGATGATGTAACGTACTACGGTCGAAAACAGATGTGAAAGTTCCAAAGACTGCATGCAACAGGCCTCAAGCAGAGTTCAAAGAGACTATGCTATCACACTCCCGAGCTGGACTTGTTCCCCAACTGCCTTGTGTGTCTGGCGATTGAGCCAAAGGCTACGGATGAAAACCCTCAAGCAAACCTCCATATCTCCCACTGACTTGTACCTCTGACTATTGAGTCAAAGGCTAAAAGTAGAGCATCCCGAACAAAACTTCTCAGAGTGGGCAGCTAGAAAATATCTGTTGCCCTTATACACCGTCGCCCCTACAATTCCTTCTGGTTTGTCTCTCCTCGTGCAACTGGTCGACCCGTCTAGTTAACAACAGACTACTGCCGACTTTGAAACTGGTACAATAGATGCATGTATCTCGTCCCTGGAACCAAGTATCTTATTTCACATTGACTCCTTTGATGTCCGCACTCTGGGTCAGGTCGGCCAACAGATAGCACCAACTGTCACTCTTCACTAGCTTGCTACTGATGTGTGCTGTGCCTCCGAAACAAGACAATAGCGTCGTGACGAACCTTTCCTCATTTCTGAATCAGCCTCGGTTGGAGCGTCTCGGCCCCCTGGTTGGGGTCCGAAAGACGATGAACACGTTTGGTTGGACACACTTGATGGTTTGGCTAGGAGCCGACCTCAGTGGCGTTCGGGCTGTGAGTTTCTTTGTCCCACCCCATCCCTCTTAGCCTCCCCTCCAACAACGTTCTCATTATTTAGCCTTATATAATTTCGCATAGTAATTTTTTGATGCACAGTAGCCGGCTGGTAGCTTACCGGAACGATGCCCATCCGTTACCGGTAGCTCAGCCGGCTTGCACCAGTTGCTTTTTTCTCCTTTTTTCTATGTATTGCGGCACAGTAGCTGTGTTCCCCACCTCTAGCTAACGTGTATGATGATGATGATGATGATGATGATGATGATGATGATGATGATGATGATGATGATGATGATGATGATGATGATGATGATGATGATGATGATGATGATGATGATGATGATGATGATGATGATGATGATGATGATGATGATGATGATGATTAGCAATGACAACACTGCGTATCTGGTGATATTGGGTCAATGGCTCAAGATACTTACAGTGTTGGTATCGACCTCAGCAAACATGGTGAAAGCAATCTACTCAATTGGATGCCAGTGAACAGCCGCGTGTGTGTGCGATTCAACCCCTATTGGGTTACAAAGCACCGTCTGGAAAAGGTACTTTTGCATCGCTTCCGTCTATGCCCCTACCGACTGCAGTTCGAAGGGTATTAAAGACGATCTCCGTCCTTAGCTCTTATCTCTTTTTCGTATGGCGAAAAATGCTGATATTGTTAACACGTAGTAGTGGCAACCAGATAGCGCAAGATCCCTGGAAGGTAATCCAGCGAAGTAGAACAAATAAGAACAGTACGAAGTTTATCAAACAATTAATTTACGGTACATGGCTTACAGAAAGATTCGTCGCAAGTTCCGAGGGGTCGAGAGGTAAATGGCTAGCTAGTGTGCAAGAACAACCAATCAGCGCACAGTTAACCTAAACAAATAGTAATCATCCAGGCACGCGACAACTGTGGTTGCTGCTGATCACTTCAATGCCCAAGTGGGTCGTCTTTAGAGCCCGGAACAGCACCTGAGAGGCCGCATAGGGATCGATGCACGCAGAGCAGATAATGGTGATCGATGTCTGCAACTGTGCGCCGACCATAGTTATTATATGGGCAGCATTGCTTTCCAGCATATACGTTCACCTCGCGTCACCTGGCGCCCAACGGATTTCCCAATGACCTGAACCCAAATTGGCCACATCGTTCTTAGCCATAGATGGCGCACATCAACCCAAGACTGTTAATCAACTTGGACCACTTGTCTGGACTCCTGCCACAGTCTAGCGCGCGCATGCCTGGCGCCCATTATTCAAAGAAGCGCCTAACATCTAACCCTGCTCGTAACTTGAACTCCCTGTTCGCAATCCAACGATGTCGTGAGGAATTGGTTCACCCATGGTCAGTTATGAATGAGGTTGGTGAGCGAAACGCTGACTGGAATAGTCTCAAGTGTGACACGAACAACGCTTTTGACGCTTGTTGTACACCCAAATTGAAACGTCTGAACTGTGGATGGATCTCCGAAGCAGCAATCAGTTTGATCGATGCAGAAACACAGGTTGCATTGAGTACTGAGTTTCAACGCATCCTTCACTTTATACATTAATTTCAAGTAGTTTCCCATTCGCAATAATGGTGTAAAATGCTAAAAATGTACCTGCTCTGGTGCATAGAGCCTGTTTTGCAGTGACTAGACTAGAGGTTTGGATACTCACAAACATGATGACGATAACATTCCTATAGGATGTGCAAAAAAAAAAATAAAGAAAACGAAGAACAGTAGTCCAGTATAACAACCAGGTAGGATAGCTTAGCAGTTAGAACGATGACTCACCAGCTCGGGAGAGTGGCGAAGTACAATAGGGATGGTCAGCATACAACTGTATAAAAAGGAAAAGATAGCTGTAGATAGAGCCTGTTTGACCTCACGAGGCCGAGGGATGCGTTCGATGGTATACTGAAAGATGAGAAACACTAACTACGTGCGTTACCTCCAAATGTTTAGACTGTAACAAGGTTGACACTTTATCTTCACTCATGTAATCTGAAGAAGCCACTATGCATACTAGTGGGGAATAGCGGCTGGTCAAGGCATCAACAAATGGAAGCATTTCCGCTGTATGTCCACCTGAGAGATGAAAAAGGGAGGCGAAGCGGACTCACCGGAACCAAAAACGATCATGCTTCGTATGGTTGCTACATTGGACGATTTGTAACGAGCACGAACGCGTAAGAGAGTGACGAGTACGAGTCCCAGTAGAGAAGTCCACAGGATAAAAGCGAATGTTATCGACATTTCCAAGTAAGTTTCTAATGTAGTGAAGATGAAGCTTAATGCGACGGTCAGATCGAGATGCGCTCTGAATCGCTTTAGTGCTGGTTAACAGAGTGAAATCGATCAAGAGGGCATCGGCTTTCTGACATAATAGGTAACGAAAAACAATCATGGTGAAGATAAAAACTAAGCCACAATCAGCAGTGATTGGACCAAATAAACCGAAAGCTTTTCCAGCTTGTCAGAATCAGACCGTAGATGTCTAAGTAAGAGAAAACTAATATTCACCAAAATTAACACATTTTCCGATTTTGATGATAACTTATTCCATAATTTAGGTTAAACATTTGCTCAGCACCGCCAGTTCAATTTCACCAATGGATATGTAACGATATTGGCTGAACAGAAACAAGCAAGTAATTCAAAGTATTGCATGCATAGATCCAAAAAACAAGGCCGTTGTATTGTTCAGTCAAAGAAAATCCCGGTGAAAAATGGTGCCAAGCTGTTTTTACTAGTCTTCGGGGAAGTAGTTGAGCAGTATGTCGGTATCGTACCCGAGATAACAGTTGGATAGGCTTGATACTAAGAAAACTAGCTTACATTGATGGGCTACGTAATTAGAAACGCCAGAAATTTCCTAGCGCATACAAGTGCTCTTAGGCGTTTTCAAATATATATATATATATATATATATATATATATATATATATAGTATCAACGGTCTAATAAATAGGCATAGAGCCAAACGAAACCATAAAAATAAGTGGATGACAATACAGTTGCAACATGATCATTATAAATGACACAGCAGTTATTATGTCGAAAGAAGAATGGAGCTTTTCGTTATTTTGCGACGCCTATTCTATTTTTTCAATTGTTAAGCATCTGAATCTAAAAAAGTAGGCACACATGTTTTCAACTGGTTTCGATTGCGCGCCATATTCTGAACTGTTTCCTGCCATCGGCACTCTTCGTCCTTAGGTCCCCAACCAAGCAGACGTATGGAACCAACGGCAGCTAGACGTGAAGCTAATGATTTCATTTGCTATTACAGAGTGGATGGTTGGCTACCGCGTGGGTTCTTCCAGCTGTGTACTGAATGAGCGCAAAGGGCGCGATAGGACAAGGGTCCAGCTGGCATACACAGGATGGGGCCGAACCCTTTTAACTGACGCAGCAAAACCAGCTTGCTGAAGGGAATACTTGCATTCCATAAGGCAGAACGTGTGACTTTACCGTTGCAGATACGTTGTTGCCAACACACAAGATCAACCCTTGTCAAGCACTCACTATCGAGTGCCGAGAGTCGGCGCACGTTATCTACGTGAAGTGTCCATGCTTCACCGCCATGCAGCAACACCGAACGGTGGCATTGTAAATACGACCCTTTACCAAGTGGGCTACATCCAGAAGACATCACAAGTGTTGCAAGTTGACAAATGAGGACGGAAATTTGGAGATGTAGAGATAAATTTGCTTGCTGATAGTACCATCAGCAGACAAGCAGCTGCCCAGGTATACTAAGACTCCAACGTGTTCATGCTGTACACCTTCAAGAATGAGCAAGGGAACAGGTGAATGTCAATTCTGGAGCAGCACTTTGCATTTCGCTGGGAGGAATCACATTCAGTATCGAGGTAATGGATAGTTTATTTGTATCTACCTTGTAGTGATTATGTTTCGGGGACCCTCCGAAATTGCTGCAGATGCGCGTACAAACAAGAGCATGGTCTGAGCCAAGAAATGTGGACTAGATCGATCCGCAATCCTTTACACTATTCTGCCATCTGTAATTGATTGCGAGGCGGTCAATCTGAGACCATGACCGAGTAGCAGAAGGTGGGTGTCAAGCAGCGGGACGCCTACCGGAATGCCGGAAGCTGGTGCTCGAGAAGAACAGATTATTGTCTTCATGTAGTGCGAAAAGTCATTCATCATTATCTGAGCGGCTATCACTGAGCGCATATTACCCACTGAAGTTACATTCATATGATAATAGGCAAACAAACCGAGTGCTGGGATCTAAAGCAAAGACTAAAATATCGGATTCGCAAGCTTTGCTCAAGAGCTTATGAGGTTCATAATAAAAATCACCTTTGACCGAGTCACAACTGCAGTCAGTTGGAGCGTACACTAAGATCACATACAAGTCGCGTCTCACCCCACGATGTCTGTTGATCCTGCACGATCCCTGAAACCGAACTGCACACAGTCAGCTGTTAATCGGGAATCAGTCTAGCGGTGCAGCCTTTGCTTTGCTATTTAGTGTTACACTAACACAGCGCTTGCTTCTGTCACCAGACAGAAGTAGGTGAAATATGGCTTCGTGGTCCGTGGGAGATTTCAACTCAATCACGGTACTGGGATCTTGATATCGGGTTGCGGAAAGATAGCAAACATCAATGGCAAGGGACTCCAAAAGCGTGCAGGACCAGTCTGTTGTCTGATATACATGAGTGTACGTACATTAAAGCATGCCAGACGAAACGAGGATCGAGGCCGAAGGAGGGCCATTGGGCGAGCTGTGGTCGTTAAGGAAACTATCGGGAGTAGAAACATGAATCAGCTGGTAACTGATAAAAAGGATTGATAACAAATGAACGGGTAGCGTGTGAAGGTGTGGGACCAGCGTAAGCAAAATTAGTTAGGCGCGGTATAGCAGAATGATCCGTGGCTTTGTGAGTCCGCGTGATACTAGACATTTGCCTAAGGCGAAGTAGGGAGTTGTCTTAGGTGACACCACCCTGAACAGAGCGGATTCGAGGAATCGCTACCACTGGCAGCCGGGGACTGATTGTTCAGTTCACACGCCTTGCGTTTGGTCGGTTACCAAACAGTGGCCCAATCCTACCCATGATGTCAGCACATATTTGCTGGAGTACAAATCTCTGTTAGGGGACGCAGGATTAGTGACCTTGCTTTAACTAATGACAATTTAAACATTTCGTTTCAAAGTCAATGTGTAGGAGGACTTTACAAACTAAAGAAATCGTCTCCTATGTACCTCGTTTTGTCTTTTCGCAAGAGTGCTCCTTGTTGACGTCTTTTAACTTCTGTTCTGAGTCGAAGGTTTGAGCCTTGGACATCGGCACGTTCGCGATACATAGAAGGGCACAACAGATGGTTCTGGAAACGGAATACAATGGTGAATAACTCCCAAAGATGACACTTTCAATGGAAGAGCTCACCTTGGTCCTACAGCAGCAGCAGGTTATTTGAGGAATCAAAGGCGCGACTGATCAAAACGCTGTCGCAGAAATTGTATGTTCAGTCACCCACAACTTACAGACAGCAGTCATCCGTTGATGTAATCTCAGGAAGCATCACAGAATTCAGCTATGATCTAGACGACGGATGCACTTCGTATCTTGGTTCAGGAAATACGAAATCACGGTTGCCTCTGAGAAAGCTTGAGACCAAGAAATACCAGAGTTGTGAATTTGATTCTTCCTAAGAGTGGGAAAGATTTTAAATTTGACGCAATCGTTGAAAGAGATCTTTGGAGAGGCGTCCTCTATTTTTAACGTGCGGCATTCCTGTTTGAAACTTGTCAAAAGTGACTGTGATGATTTTGTGTCTTATGGGACCACGGTTAACCGTCAGCATGAGCGTTTCAAGCTTAAGGAAATGACAGAAGACCAAGTTAAGTGACAAGTATTTGTTTGTGGTCTTCAATCGCCCCGTGCCTCAGAGATTCGTATCCGCTTATTCAGTAAGATGGAGCATGATCCTAGCATGAACCTGAGGTGAGTCATTTCCGAGTACCACCGTTTGTTAAACCTGAAAAAGGATAATGCGATGACTGTATGAGAAATAGTCCCTGGCTCTAGTAACGTGCATGCTGTGACAAAAAGCACCTCAACAAAACCCACTAACTCCTTTAGAAGCGGCATCTTCAACAAACCCCCAACAGTCTGTTGGCAGTGTGGTGGTTGGCATTACGTCAGACTGTGCCCATTCAATAAGCACCGCGGTCAGAAATGTCCCAAAGGAACACACAAAGATGACCACCGTTGCGCAAACAATGGAACACTTCCGAAGACCCAGTCCAGCCAGTTCGGAAAAGCCAGGCAAAAATCTATGTACAAAATAAACCCTGTTATGGCTACGTTCGCCACGGACGCAAAACACAGGCGTATGTATGTGACTGTGCATATCAACAATACTTTTGTGCGTCTCCAACTTGATACAGCATCAGATATTACTTTACTGTCACCAAGCATATGGAAGGTGATCGGTCAACCTCTTCTAAAGCCGACAAATCGCACAGCGCTGAATGCTTCCAGTGGAGTCCTGAAACTCACAGGTGAACTTATGTGTTCTGTGTTATTCAATAATGTGCAATCCTGTACTGCGTTTTACCTTTCTAATCGACCAAATCTAAACCATCTGGGCCTTGACTGGATCGCGAAACTCGGGCTTTAGGAAGTCCAAGTTAATTCTGTGTGCAATCAGTTGTGTTCAGTCTGTGATCAATCCTCCTAGGAATGTTCTGTCAGAGCGTTTGCGTCATAAATTCGCTCAAGTATCCCGGGATGAGCTTGTTTGCTGCACGAAAACTAAGACAGCATTGTCCCTCCACCCCTATGCAAAACCTGTCTTCCGACCCAAACGTCCGGTACCATATGTGGCGTTACTAAGCGTTGAGCAGAAATTGGAGACTACAACAGGTTGGCATCCTTAAACTTGTGAATTACTCCTTATGGGCTGCTCCTATTGTGGTGGTGGTCAAGAAACCAAATGGGAAAATCCGAATTTGTGCCGACTTCTCCAGTGATCTGACTACTGATCTGAAAAGTCACCAAAATCGTTGCCCCTGCCAGATGATTAGTTCGCAGGGCTAAATGGTGGCAAGTGTCTCGCCAAACTGGAATTGTCGGATGCATACCTCCAGACAGAAGTTGCTGAGGATTCGCAAGAGCTGCTGACCACCAATACTTACCGCGGTCTTTTTTGATACATTCGCTTACCACTCGGAGTAAAAGCGGCAGCTGCCAATCTTCAACAGAACACTGGCACCATGTGGAAACGACGATTCGCTTGGAAGTCTTGAGTTAACGCGTTTCCACCGTGGTCAACAAAACCGGACTGGCACTGAAATACGGTAGTACTCGCGATCAAACAAAAGCAACAAATACAAAATACCATAATAATCTGTACTTCCGTCACAGACGCTTCAACAACGGCAACGGTCAAGATAGCCAACAAGCACGGCTTCAAGACGCACGTACGAATGAACTTGTCTCAGTGTAATGTGGCTTAAAACGGGATAACACAGGACCAATCAGAAAGAAGGGAGGCTACCATGAGCCGTGGGTGTGAGAATCCGCACATTACACGCAGTGATGCAGTGTGC